TTATTTATTTATTTATTTATTTTATTTATTTATTTTAGAAAAAAGTTAGAAGGATTAAAGGTTTGCAACAAATAATTCGTATAAAAGATCCTATAATCGAGAAATATTGACCAAATACTCTTAACAAGACAGAATGGAAAGATCACCTTGCTAAAGTTGTCACTATGATAGCTTACCTTTCTGATGAGTTAAGTGGGACCAATGCTGAACTTGCAGTGACAGAAAAAAACCCACGACCAAACAAATATGTTATTAAAATACATGTTTCTATATGGAGATCTAAAAGGGTAATACTAAACTTTAATTTGAGTTTCTATCATAAAATAGTCATATTGGCTTATTCTACAATTATTTTAAAAACTATATAGTGCAAAAAAAATTTCTATTAGCCCGAAGAGGTGGCTTTAACGAACTAGACCAATAAAATTATAAGAAAATGATATTATGACAAAAATTGGAAACAAAATACAAGATCACCTTTTGGTATACCTTTTAGACAATTGTCTTATCTTACGATTATAATAGATATGCAGACTCTCTTACGCCCAATACGTCTACCAAAACCACTAATTCAGGGTCTAATAATAATAATGATAATAATAATAATAATCCTGAGCCTAACAATCCTGGGCATACCGATACCAGATCTAATAACAATCCTGAATCTAGGCATACTGATGATACCAGATCTAATAACGATTTAGAATCTGTTGCTAACAATTATGAGCCAACTAATTCTGGGCGTAGACCTAGAAATGAATCAGGGTATGCAATTAAGAATAAGTAGAAAATTTATTTATATATTTATTAACTTTCTATCCTAGATTCAATAATCTCGATACAAATGATCTGAAAACAAATAATGATAAATCAACTAATTCTGAACATAATTCTAGATGTAGATCTAGAAACAACAATTCTGATACAAATGATCTGAAAACAAATAATGATGAATTAACTAATTCTGGTCATAATTCTGAGCATATACCTAGAAGCAACAATTCCGATACAAATAATCCAGAAACGAATAATCACGAATCAACTTCTACAAATAACAACCCTGGTACTAAATTTCCTGTTCGTAAGTCTAGTCGAATTAAGAATAAAAAAAGAATGAATATCCCAACCAGAAAATTTAGCTATAGCGAAGACAAAACTGAGGTATAGACCTTCTAAACATACTATTTTTTTAGTTGACATAATTTTTATATACATTTATTACTTTGACAGTAAACAACGATAAAGAGATGATACCCAAGATCTCATAGTGCAAAATGCGATATACAAAAGAAAACTTAACATCATTATTTACATCAGTACAGATAAATTTTATTTCATTCATATTATAAAGCACATTAGCAGTAGATTTAGCATATAGTTTTTTAGTGAATATTTCAAAAATATATATTCATATAGCATTAGTTATTGATTAGTAATATTTGTATATAGAAAAATAAATAATTATTAATTGCTTTCATTATGAAAATATTGATTCTATACATCATATAAATAGTATTAAATGATGAATATATAAACAATTAGAAAAAATTATATAACTATTAGTGAGCCGATATTCTGCAATACTTGGCATATACCACTTAGAAATTTAGAATATTGTATAAATATTAGAGAATATAATATCAATATTCTGAAGCCGATATTTTTGCTGAAATTTGATATATATGTCGCAGAAAGTGGTCGATATGCACCAAGCTGATAGGTCATAGATATGCGCTAAATAGCAGTAAGCTATCAGATTGTATCTATCAGACAAATATTGTAAGATATATATGACCTTTCTTAGACCTATCAGCTAGCCAATAGGCTATTAAAATTTCATTATTGGATCTTGTGTAATTCTAACTAATAACCCTAACTACCTAACCTTAACAAAATAATAGCAAAATCACTCTAACGAAAGAGACGGCATGGCAACAACTTCACGCAACAAATGCCAAAGTAACAAATGCGTTTATGCTAGCAATGATAATGACAAATACCAAAGGCAACAAAATGTTAACAAGACCTGTAAATAACAACAACGAAGGCAACAACACTGAGAACGATGATACTAAAAATGATAGCCCCAACAACTTTGACAATTTAATAGCAAATATAATTCTCTCTTGATAGTGGTGGTACCAATAACAAACAAAATGTAACAAAAATGACCACCAAATCCAAACAAAGTCATTATCTAAAAAAAGCATTAAAATAAATAAAACAAAAGTACTGCATAAAAAATATAAAATTTATACTTATCTATCAGATCTATATTTGTATTATATATATATATACTATATATAAACTAAGAAATTTTCTATTAATAAATTATTATTTTATTTAAAAAATACTAAATATATTTTAATTTTCTAAGCAAATTTGTCTGAATTATAGTTTAAGGGATACAATATTTGAAATATTATAAAAAACTTTTAATTAAGTTTTCTTAGCAAATATCTAATTTATTTTGATAATTTAACTATTATTATAACCAAAATATTTTTTTAAACAACTCTAATTAGTATAACTATATATAATTACTTAATAAGTTTTAAAGATCAAAGCAAATTTTTAAATTTTATACAATATTTCATATTAATTATAAATTTTTGCAATATTATAGTTTTAAAATTTTGTTTATATATTATTTTAATATAGTTCTTTGATAAAATTACTTTTATCAAAAAACTTAAACTTAATATTAATTATATAGATCTTATTT